ATAGAAACAAAGATGGCAATTTTTGCTAGTATTGCAGATCAACGAGTGGAAGAAGAGACGTTCACAGGCTTTTTCGGTGTATGAAGGAGTCACCGGCAGTAATTAGTGGACGTTGCGCCCAGATCAAAACTCATACTTGCGATATCTATCAGAAGAGAGCATTGGATTGTGGGGAAAATCAATATTTATTAACACAAGTGTCGCACATGCGCGGCGCGACGACCACCGCCCTTTAATTAGCAATCCGGGTGATTTTGGATCGGCAATGCGAGTGATTTAAGGGATTTCAAGTCAGTGTGTTAGTGGTCAGCATGTGGGTGATTATTTTGCTTCATTCGTTTCGAAATCCCGATGTAGACATTGCCATGACCGAATGTCATAGTTAATAATTAAGTATTCAAGTAACACATACACGTATTGCAGACAGTATTCGAATTTATTTGATATATATATATATATATATGAAAAGTACTTACACGTATGACAAATACAGTGACAACTAAAAATCGATATCTTTACTACGACAGTTCGAACACAGAGTGAACCACGACTACATGCCGTGAACAAATACCAGAAATAAGTACGAGTATATCAGTGTATGTACAAAGTGTAGATGCAGTTTCATTTATTCACATCCAGACAAGACAACAAATAATTCCCCACTCTGGAAATATTACGTAAGGGTGGGGTATAATAAGTCCATATACCACAACATTAAGTCCGCTGGTACCTACATTACTGTTGCCATATCAAAAGTGGGACATAAGACCGTAGTTTTATAAAATGTCTGAATAAACCACGTTTGTTAAACATCTCCTTGGTTCATCGATGCCGCGTGCTGCTTAGCACGCATGCGTAGACTTTCTATGCTGCTGTTCTGCAACGGGGTACTGTACGGCAACGGAAGCGAGCCTGGCGACAGCGGGTGTAGCATTGATTGTCCCCATCCAGATTGCAGGGCCGTCGGCGATAGGATCCCTTGTGAATGCGAAAAATGGTCCAGAAGATGCACTGGCCCTGTAACGTGCATTGGGTGCCTGAGGAATGAATTGATATTCATGTGTGCAGCTGACGTCATGGGTAGATGAGGCGAATAGGGTAAAATATTGAACTGCGCATGCGGCGACGATAACGTGGGCGTCTGAACTGGTGGTTGGAATGAACTAGTTGATGGCGTAGACGCAGTTGAAACTGAAATAGAAGATAATTTCAACAACATATTAGTGAGATCAAAGTTGTTTTAATAAACTGAATTTTGTAACGATGATATGGTCCTTAATATATGTTAAAATGAAATGAACATATTGTTCAAACTTGTAACTTGTATGTACTTACTAAACATTGGTGGCGCTGTACTTGATGCTGGCCATGGCGACGAATTTTTTGTTGAACGTCTCTCCCCTCCTTCACATTTTTCACTAATGGGAGAATGGTCACGTATTTTCTTTGTCACTTCCTCTTCTTTGTCGTCATCAGACTCATTCGTGACGTCAGTCCTTACGATTTCAATGGTGTCCGTTGATTTATGTTCGTCGGTTAATTCATTTCCTATAATACTATGCTCATTTTCCTGGTCGTCGTCTTCTATGCCACCAAGGGTTTGTTCATTCGCCTCACTAACAGCGCCCTCATCAGCCATTTTTTCACAATCCTGTTCTTGTTTTTCGCTTTCGTCCGTTTGCGGCTTTTCCTGTTTAGTTTTCAGGCGTTGTTGTTTTCGGAATTTTGCACGTCGGTTTTTGAACCATACCTGAAAATAATAAATTGATAACTTTATTAACAACTTTTCGTTCGCTTTATTCTTTCATGGAATAATAAGAGACGGATGTGACAAAAAATGTTCTTGTGATCTATTGTCATCTGCAGTGGTGTCGATTTCTTTTTCAGCAAATCGGATTACACATCGTCATATCAGTAGAGCCAATCATATAAGTTGTACTATTATAGAATCGACAACTTCGTCCTTATTAAATCACTGATTGGTTCACTCGTGAATATTCAAAGCATACTGATGCTTACCTGGACACGTGCTTCTGGGAGATTTGTACACATGGCGAGCCTCTCTCTCATGACTACATCCGGGTAATGTGTTTTAGCAAAGGTTTTCTCCAAAGCTGCCAGCTGTTGATTGGTGAAAGCAGTACGACTGCGCCGTTGTTTTCTGTGGTGTCCACCGTAGCGGGCTTCTAGTATAATATCTTACAAATAATTAGAAAAAGATATTGTCATTAACAAGCAAAAATCGCCAATTTAAAACACGCAAAAACTGTTGTCGTACCGTTGCTCGAGTCATATGGAGTCGGGATAATTGCGTAATCTTTAATTTCCACTTTGATTGGTCGAATGTGAAACCGCGGAACAAAACACTCGCGAAATATTATGATTCTACAGAATTATTTGCGATTCGAGAGCATATGACAGTACAACTGAAAATGTAAGTTTGCAGACGACAAAAAATGTCTGCAATTTTTTTTAATTGACTTCCAATGTACTGAGTACACTGTTGCGTAATACAAACTTCGGTATTTTGTGACGTAGCGAAATCTTGTGTCCAGTTTATCGTCAATGTGACGTATGCTACCGAACATTTGTGCAAAGCATTGACAATATCAGCATTTTGCAATTGAGTATATAATAGAACACTGTAGCATGAGTTCCACATTCACCCCACCCCCTACCACACACAAGTTGTAACGCCATTTCCTATTGTATGAGCGTTGCTGCACTTTGGTAATCTCTACTTTCCTAACATATGCCCGGTCTCTCATTTGTATGCAGTGTTCACCTGCTAAAAAATGTACACAAGTATTTTATGGGGGCAAGGGGGGATAGCTGATACAGGTTACAAGAAATAAAAACGGCATTTTACGTTTTTACTGGAAATGAAATGAAAGTTCCATTTACAGTAAAAAATAGTTTTTTACGCTTTACAGATAAAGCAAATTCCTAATTACATTTTAATAATATTTTTGATAATTTGTGTTTAAGAATCAAAATTGAAAATTGCGTACAAATTACGACAATTCGGATAATGCTTTATACGCTTACAAAATATAATATCTTTGTACAAACTACGAAAGAATAAAAGAGCTGATTGCATTTTACACCTTGCCCATGTCTACGTTTATTTGTATTACATTATTACAAAAATAAAAACAATTGATTACAGCTTACGAAAATACCCCTTGCCGACCCTCTTTTATTTCTTGCGTGGTTGGGCGTTGTCATGAAGCTGCTGTTCAAAATACAAGTCACCACCTCTAGATGGCGCAGTAGTTGGCCCAAGGGAAGTAATACTAGTAGTACATGAAAATAACAATCAACCAATTTCATTATTGCTGATGATGACAATTGAAGATAAAACATGCACGCTTCCATAAAAACCCGCAGGGGAATATTCATGATTTTACACGGAAGATAAACGTCTAACTTAATAACACGTCGACTTATTAAATATGAACTGAGCGTAATCGTGGAACAGAAACAATGTAGACAATTTGAAGAATGTTCCGAAGTTGAATATAATTGAGTAAATTTCAGAATCAATAGTGTATGAAATTATCTGGTTCCTTCGTAAACAATGTGATATAAACGTCGATTCCATCGGGGCAATGCTAAGACAGGATTTCAAAATATATGCTGTATTTAATTATATAAATGCGAGGAAAATTCCGATTTAATAAGAATGTTCAATATTTTCATAAAGGACTACACATTTACCATTATGTTAAATCAAATTTGCTTATCAAATTATAACAATATTAAAAAAGAGTGAACGATTTATCGTACAACTGAATCGCAATTGTCCTTTGTTCAGAATTTCTTCATTGATATCGTAACTTTTACTTGGACACGACGTTGACTATTTCTGGAAAAGTATTCAAATCTTACCGCAAAGTGGGATAATGACGCGGGGATTCGTTGTGTTGCGCTTGTCGATCTTGCCGTGGGCTATTGCTAGACGTCAACAAAGGCGGAAAGGAACAACGATGCCAGACCGGAACATCAAAAGAAATTATATCTAAATACGGGACTGCGTTTCCAGTGAGATCGAGTAAATCGCATGGATGAAATGGTTTGGCCAACGTCTGCATGCGTTCTATTATATGACACTGATTGTCGGAGAACAACGACCGGGCGGTACAATGCGACGTGGGTGTTGTTTGTTGCTCTCTCTGCAATTTATGAATTTTACTCTCAGTGGGAGTAGTGTTAGACAACTGAGGAGTGGAGACCGTGGAAGTCCGCGTAACCGTATCAAGTCGGATAAACCAATATTTCCGTTTCATAGAACCGACATATTATTAAAACTTATCAAATTCTTTACATTAGTTCTTAATACTGAAATTTTAATTTAGTATGATGGCTATCCATATTTTATCTTTAACGAATAAAGTTTGAAGGATTCGCTATTGTCAGTTTTTTTTCAAGTTCTCTTTCTCAAACCCATGTAAAATAATCCAAATTCGCACATATATCTAACCACTAATTACACGTGTCATCACGTGGCTTTTCGGGCTGTTAGTTGAGCCACTTTATTCGGGAAATGCAAATGTCATGCATAATTACGACAAAGCTGTGTCATTTTGATGACTGGCGGCCGCAGGTACCTAGCGCACATTAAAAAAAATACCATATTTTCCGATTTATACCGACTATTACCGATGTGTGTTTATCTACACATGCAACCACGCGTTAGTAACTTCCAGTTCCCGGTATTCAGCATCGATTAGGTCTGAACGAGCTGAAATTATGCTATCATAATAACCATCGCCGTAATTTTACTATAAAACGCATTGCACTAAAGTTGCTGTAATATCGTCCTAATCATAAAAAACACACCGCTCTTTTTAAAAACTTTTTATTAAATTGCTTAATATCCGGTAAATTACTTGAGTAGCGGAAGTGCAAACCAACGTACAATGAGTATGTCTTCTTGATAATTGAGATAACTGTATAGTGATAACCCTGGTGATAGCGTTCCGCTGACGGTTTTTCTAATTTGAATAAAAATTCGAGACGTTTTAATAATGCAATGAATAAACAATACATTTCAGCGGAGCTTATTAAATTGAGTACGTAACGTAAGTGAATATTTTGAGAGAATTAATTCTACGTTTATCGCATACTATTCCCTGTCACCATGGCGATCGTCCTACCATGGATGTACTTAGTACATCCATGGTCCTACATTGCGTTCCGAATTTCGTGTAAATAAGCAATATACTAGTATTTATAGGCGTCATGTACGTCACATTGGACTCATAGCCACGTGACGTCCGGTCACCGCAAAGCGGAGAGATAATTGAGCTAAAATTTTGGCTTTCATCCGGCATTGCAGCGGTGTTTGAGTGGTTGGGTTGAGATGGAGGTGGAACAAGCAACATCGTAAAATAAATAATTGCGTCGTATAGTGAGACTGCGGCGGGAAGATCATCACATTAACTCTGTCTACTTAGTCTCGTAATGCCCTTCCCTTGAGGACTTGGTGTAATATATTTAGTCAGCGTTGACAGAATCACAAACTGTAAGGCAAATCACGTAAACAAATATGGAAAGCCCCCGCGTTATTGTTGTTCCATTACAGTAATGCTCAGAAAAATACCCAGCACAAAGAGAGATCGTGTCGGAATAATGTTGTTTACTAGTCTGCTAATATAAAGGACTTAAGGAATAAAGACATACAAATCCCAGCAGTGCGAATTGCTCAGGTGACACAAATTTAGTTACTCAGCTGTGGAGAAGTCTATACATCTCTTTACCTGTCTCTTAATTGCATTTGTACTGTGCACCGGCAACTGTCAATCTCCATACCAGGCTTAGCATTCAGTACTCTGAATAGGGATGAAGCAGTGACAGCAAACCGGTATAAGGTACCCCGAATCTGTACTGCAGTACCAGTTTCTAATGATAGATTCTGGCATTGCCACGCTTAGACCAAAATGTATGGTCTGATCCGGGACAAACTCGTTTGCTCGTGTGAACTGATATAGCCCATGTATAGCCCAAGTTGAACTCGTGTCACCGCGGAGGTCATCTGAGAACGCGCCTCCAGAGAAAACGTGAGAGTGAGACGAGCGGAAGAAAGTTATGATTTTACCTTCCTGCAATGTCCCTGGTTATCGCAAATCAGACTAAAAAAAGTCCTTCTTTACGTTACTTGAAAATAAGGATAAATGTATTTTGATACACATGTTTAATTTTCCCTCAGCTACAACTTTTAAAATCCCCCTCCCCCGATAAATAAACAGTTAGCATACCTGCTAGCCGCTCGGCGAGTGTCAATGCAGGACCGGATGTGGGACGGTGGTACTCGGAATGATTCTGCGACTGCTGGTGCAAACTATACATGGCGCTCAACGTGCCCAATGTGTGCATGTTGTACGGGTATCCGTTATACTGCTGCATTTTCGGGGATACTGAAATAAAAAATATATATTAATAGTAAAATACCAAAAAACAATATAGTAATACTTCCTAAATTGAATGAATGAAAAATAAATAAACCATACAGGATTGTTTTTTCGTTCAAAGAATAACTCAAATGTTTTAAATGGAAGCTTGTGGTGTACACCAATCCTCTTTACCGCCCGAACTGACGTTTGTGCGAACAGATCCAGGTATCTAACTGTCAAATGTCTCGGTTGGCCCGCCCCCACGGAATATATGAGTAGTATCCGTGATTAGAAAAAGGTGTAGATTTAATAGATTTATAAGATCCACTCGACAAAGGCTTTTATTCGAATCCGATTAACTTTAAACACAGGTGTGGAGAAACAAACTGAATTAAAAAAAATGCACTGAAAATTGTACTTTCACAAACCGGACTAAGATATCGTATTACACTAAAGACATTAGGGTAATTGCTGTTTTGGTGTGTCCATTTCACGTGAAACATACCTAAGAGGTAGAATGTGTATATGCTAAATTAATTTTATGTTAAAATCGTATTAAGCACGTTGTACTTCCCCCTTGAGAATTACTACGTTTAACCCGACATCAGCAGAGTGGTTGTTTATTAAATTGTCCGCATTATATGTGTGCTATCCGGGGACGTGCTAGATTAGCGTACTTGGTATGTTTGGAATCAATTTCCCATAGCGAGAAATCCCCTATATGGAAATAAACGAACTCAACTGTTTTAATGTGTTGTTCCTTTGTCCGAAATCTCACGAGTCGTAGATTCTGCTTCATCATTTGCCATACTAAATATGTTCCCGTTAACTTTTATCTTTTGGACTGTCTCCCGGACTGAAGGACTTCGATTAAATCGGTCCACATCAGACTAACATTGAATTATCTACTTTATCGAGATCAACCCGTAACTGCATTGCATTTTTAACAAGAATTGAAACTTAAAACTGTTCATGTAACACTATTATTATAACGTTCCACCATATTTTAACCTTCTTACCAGCGTTTATTTTTTCCTTTCTTAGGGGGGGGAGGGGGGTTCTAAGCTGTGATGTACAACATGAAACGTTTAGGATAGAGTCACCGAGTGAGAAAGTGCGAATAAAACACAGCATTTCCAACTTATACTCTGTCTAGTAACGTAGCTACTAGTGTACATGGCATGCTGCCCGATCTCCATCATCAATATGGACGTGGATACCTAACATTCAAGAATATCTTGGTACATTTTGTTTCAAAGTACAAATGTTTCATATTGTGAGCAATCAATCGTTCAATGCTAAGTTGAGCGATTCCATAATTTGTTGGGCTGGGAGATTGCTCGAGGACGACGAGCAAATCACATTTGCACAATGATTGTATACTAGTATGTACATTGCGTTATGTAATGTGAAAAACAAAATATTCACAAAACACGATTTTGTCTTTTCTTTGTCCATAGTTCCCTATAAGATTATGGCTGTGTCACGAGTGATTACATTAAGACTCGGTGACTGATAATTAGTTAGTGGATATGGGTGGTGTTTACGGTAAACAGGAAATAATAACGGTCTAATAAAAAAGAAACTTTACCGCCACATATCGCAAATAACGTCATAGTTCAATGTCAGCACGGTTAAAACGATTACACGATGTATCGGTAAATCATTTTTTTTTTTATGAATTTGAAGAAAACGAAATCATCCGACGCTCAATACATGTGTGAAAACGATATAAATATGCGCCATACGTGTTGACATCTTTTTGACGCAAGTTTCTAAATTCTTTTAATTGTGAAACGGGGAGGGGGCCTCTTCAATCTGACACTCTATGTGTGAAAAAAGCTAACGATTTGCCTCATATTTGTTGACACTTATAGACGATTTATCTAAATCCATTTACGGAGCCGGGAAGGGTTCTTTTTTTCCATCTAGAAATATCGCTCAATACTCCGCATTACACTCGTCCGGTTGACTATTTGTTGATACAATGTTTACATTAGACACAACAGCGATCTTAATGTCTTTGAAAAAAATGCAATTAGACCATTCCCGCATTTTCCATCTAACTAACTAAAACAGCGTTCGATTGAAAGGAACAAAACATATTGAGCAGGTAGGCAGGTAAAAAAAAACAAAAACAAATATTGGCGCTGTTTTGGTCGATGCTAAGATGGTAGGGTGAATTAAAGCAAAGCCATTATAAATGCCCTTAATACAGATTTATATTTAATTTGGTCTCATATTGTTCCTTTACTATGCGTTCTCGGAGTTTTTCATATCCTCGGTGTCTGTTGATTCATTGTTAGCAAACGGAAAGAAAACATACAAGCTTGTGTGAAACCCTCTCATGTGATCGATATAGCTTAATATAAAGTATACCTATCCATACTGCGCTGACACTGTAACAATAACAAAATGACTACATCGATCTGCCGCCCGAGATGATGTTTGTTGTATAGTAGCAATTTGTTGCAATTAAGCTACCAGCGTCTATACGTATGCGAGGGTGACGTCCAAGTTCAAATACTCACTGAAAGATAAACTATTATGACTTTGGGGTAATTGGTTGCTAATGGCATCGATGTCAGATATCAGATGAGGACTTAGCCACTCGAATACACGTGTGATACTGCGGGAGCAACGGAGATAGTCGGGTTGGCAATTTCCAAACTCTATAGCATTTTAATAGTATGTATTTCAAATGTTCGGGAAAACGGTCCCATACCCGTCGGCCTCAAGTCCCTGCTTCTGTATGTTAAAGCAATGCCTAGAAGCTCATGTAGCTGGTTTCAATAAAGTTAGTATGCCCCCATTTCTCTTCTGATAACTGAGTGCAATTATGGTTTCAGAATGCCATCTAGGAACCTTCATACGACATTCAATCGACCCAAACATGGAGATATTGCTACACATTCCTTGGTCGAATCAATAATAGTTGTGAGTTATTTCAATTTTTAATCCAGGTTTTCACGAAAATCACGATTCTTGAGTTTTATTTACATGTGGACAATTCCATAAAAAATTGATAATATTTCAAAAGCTTAAATTTTAGAAATTGTCTGTAAAAAGTTGATTTAAAATGTGCGGAAACCCAACATATCGGCATTTTAACGGGAATGTTTTGTTACAAGTTATCACGAAATATATGTGTTCAAAGCGCGACCATAAATATTAGATTTTTAAGTCTCAAATTTAGCGAATTTCAGAAATTTCGGAAAAAGTACCTAGAATAGTCTCGTGTAGTTGATGCGTTGGGTCGACAGCCATATTACGATGGTGGTTGCTTTCGTCGCATATTCCTTAGAGAAAGATGGACTTTGAATTACAGTGTGACATATTACTAGTACTCGTATATTTTTTTCCAAATTTTTGCAAATTAGTGAATTAGAAACATTTCTGTTTTTTTCCCCACATATTCTAAAACTAAACGCTTGTATTTTACGATGTGGGTAGTGCGGTGAATGGCGTTACACATTGTTCCACCACAAAATATCTTTTAAAACAGAATAAAAGAACGGCGTACTAGTATTAAACAGCAGTGAGGCAAGACAGTGCCAGTAGGAGCTATGAATTGTATGTTTTTCAGGCACTCTGGTATCTAACGTAAAAAAAATGGTCTATCAGTTCCAGAATATATGCTGCATGTTTGGTACGTTCATGGAGTTAACTTGAAGTACGCAATGAGACTCTCGATTAACTCCACCACTAGGCGCAGTAACGAAGATACAAAAGGAGAATTTTGCAATTTGTAAGTGAAGGAGACGATTTTTGGGATGGTAGATTTTTCTGTGAAAGCTAGTTCGAAATTGCCGAGAGCAGGTGTTATATTTTCAATTCATATAAATACGGACTAGGTATGCAACTAAAACAAGTTTTTCAGCGCTATGTTATTCCGAGGAAAATTTAACAGAGAAAGACACAGAGGTACAACGTCTATATCAGGAGATATACGGAGAGACTGTTCAGGGAAAAAATACTCTTAATATTTTTAGTCAATTCATGCACAATTCAACGAGAAAATCAGGCGGGCCTTTAAAAAAAAACAAGAACTTACAAGTGGCCCGTGTATGTCAATGGCTTAAACGATTTGTTTCGAAAAAAACTACTACATGTAGTACACATGTAGTATCATACACGCCACACAGTTTTTAAGTAATGTTGCCGAAACCAGAACGGAGGTTACCAAGTTCCCTGTAATCACAAGATTTTAGCGCAGGCCGATCTAATACGAGGAGCTCTGTACATGGCCGAACTAAATCTACAGTCAATCGTGTGTTACTTTCCCCTTTACATAATACAGATCTATCCTTATTGTTGCCAAAACAACGTTTGCCTTCTTCAAACCCGGGCGTCGATTTGAACAAAGACACTAGAAAATACATTTCTAGTGTCTTTGATTTGAAGCGAGTTTAAATATATCCAGGTGTGTATTTTTTTCTGTATATAACTTAATGCAGATTAAAAGTACTTACGGGATTGAACTTCAATTTATTTATTTCAATTAATAACTAATCTTACTTGAAACGTGTTAATCCGTACGATTATAACTAACCTTGTTCATTATCCGACAAGATAGCGGAAGCACATTGTCTGTTGTTGTTGATGTGTGTTAGTGTTTGGGTATAATCCTACTCCACAGCTGATGCGAGTTATACTTATAAATCTACATGTATACAGCCCTCACGTACATCATTTTTTTATTGCGGAGTTTGGATTGTTCTGTTCAACTAAGTTCAAAAACAGTTGAATATCTTCTTATTGTGTCAGAAAATAATACATTTGAATTGTCATAGATACTAAGGAGTGAAATATAGGAATAGAACATATTGTCCAAATAATATTACCCCTATAAAGTACTATAGTTCTTGGCGGTCGTTGTGCGCATATGAAGGCAGTCCCCACCCCCGCGCCACCTTAATATAGCACACCTCCACACTCACTCATTGTATATAAAGCTACATTGTCATGTGTTTCTCTTTTCTTTTAGTTTTACCACGGTTACTAAAAACTAGTAACCGTGGTTTTACCCCGTGGTTCATTGCAATGCGCGTTCATTGCTGATGTCGACGCACCACCTGTGTTGGCAATAAATATTAACACACCGTAAAAGATTAATTCAAGAGGATGGTGACGTAATAAACACAATAATTTCCACACCTTGGTACAAGCTGATCGCGTGTTGTGTAAACTCGATGATTTGACAAACACCGTCATCTCAAATAAACTAATGTTTATACACGACTTCGTACAAAGTAATAATTTGATCTCAAAATATGTACTTTAGTGATTGGATCCGATTAGATTTAAGAGAATTTTAAATTTAAAAAGTCTGATACCGATGTATATATTATTTACATGTTTGATATACCCTGAACCCTGTATGGAAAAATTGCTTCCGTGACCCGACGGCCATCTTGATTACGCTCAACGATTCTCGACTGATGTGTTAGGTCACCCACTTTATTCGACGAAATTGCTTTACCATGCGTTTATATATCATGATTAAAACATATATTCGACTGTAACGCTTTTATCCTTGGTCAAAGTGTTGAGGAAACTTCAAAACACATGATCATATTGACACGGCGGAATTTCGCGAGGTCGACGAATATTCGGTTCACCTCACGTGTGGTAGTTAGTGTACAGTCGTTGCAGGGGAAAAAGTCACTGGACATGTAGTTAAAAATTATATGTTTTGGTACATCCTGATATAGCACTGAACACAGTAATTAAGTAATTGGAAGTAATTAATACAACAATGAAATGTTGAAAACAATACAGACGAAATTGTCATTTATACACTCCGAATACTGTTTTATGTTATTTACTGTTGGTGTAGAGATATAAGGCAAAGTGTTCAGACCTGCAAGTCTCGAGGTTACAACTTTCATTTTGCCGGCAAACTGCTCTGAAAACAAACAATTTTCGGCAGTGACTTTAAAATCCGAAAATCACACCTACGATAAAAATAAATACATGTGCATTTGAAACTTTTTCCTCTGAGAATTGTTCCTATATTCGTGTTAATTGCTCAGCGTGTCGTGTCTGTCCAGTGCTGACTTCGATGACTCAAAATAACGCTGCGGTAGCTATACGAATGCCCAAATGTTATACAGATATACTAGTATACGTTGTTGGTATTGTTGGTTTTCTATCTTCACCCCCTTTAAATCCAAACATGCAAATGCACGTTCCATGTAAGAACATATTAGTTCATTATAACCGGTGTAATTTCAAAGATTATTCTTCAAAATATCGATGACAACAACTTAGGAAAATCGTGGACCTGTTAAAGCTACATAGTCAAATCGAATGTCCAAAATTAAAACTTATTTCGTAAAATACATCTAATTGGATTACACACTCTTTTTGAAGAAAGAATATAAATATTGCTGTTATATGGTCTCTCGATTGTGTTAAAGTCGAACAGTTAACGTGCTAGAAAGTATCACGGGGCAAAATCAACAACACCCGTCCATCAATTGTATTCATATTTGAAATCTTCACAATATACGCTAGAAGCGACAGTGGGTCCTCCAGACATTTTTTTTTTCTCCGTCACGGAATCAAATAATATGAGAAATATTGAACATCAATGCAACACGATATTGAACACATCCGCATGGTCACTTTTGTCTGTTTCAGTTGTTATAAAAGTTAACCGGGCTCACTTGTGCCATATCTAAAGAATGGCTACGAGCATCCTACCTGTGCACACCGTTGGACGTCGCCAGTCACCAAATATGAACACGTAGATGTCTAAATCCAGTAACAGTTAGGTATGATCCCGATGCTTGTACTGAGGCGCCACTGCTTTGCAAAGTTTACTAATAGGCTGATAGTGAAAAACGGTCAAAAAATTAGACCCCCTAACTCGACGTAAAAGTGCAAAACAGTCAACTTGTATGCTTCCGAAAAGACATCGATTTTTTTTTCATCCATTCACTAAATATTCTGTTTTGAATAATTTGATATTTTAAAGACAGATTTCCGTTAGCATGATATGATATGTATATGCCTTCATCGAGAAAGTGTTCCAACCCAAAGATGTGCGAGCTTCATAATCGAAAGTGCACGTACAAGTTGTCGGCCATTGTGAACGTTAATTACTTGGGTGTAAAGGAGGCGAGACATGACAACAATAATTTGTCCTTGTCAGGGAGAGATGTGACAGTTGGTGAAGGAGGGGGTTGGACAGGGAGGTGATATCTTTCATGAAAACATTGTTCCTGTTTATTCCAATATATTATTTCTATCATCTACTAGTCGCTTTCAACAACAATTTTCTTTTTTGTATGTACATGTATTTGTGAATTGGAAATACTTTGCGTCAGTTCTATACAATTTCACGGGGATTGCGCAGAAATACGACTATTGTAATATGCAGATACTGCTAAATTTTTGAAATAATAATTCAACGACTTAGAATTTACCGTGACTACATAAAAAAAAAACACTGCTCTGATTGCATGCTGTACAACCAACGACAGGGCAAGTCACCGTCTGAAAAATCAACTCGTATACTTGAAATTGAAACAAAACCAATATAATGATTCCATCAGACACTTTGGGCCTTGTTATTCCTTCAAAGCTATGTTTGTTAAATATCGCCCTCCCGTCAATCACTCTGCCTGCAAACACGGAGATTGCCGAGGTGTGGAATAAAAAAAGAGCACTGACTGTAACACCACACTAAACAAAGTGATTACCCACCTTCCTAGTGATTGGATTTCAGGCCTAGAAATGGATTTTCTATATGTACCTTAGAATACGATATGTCATGTAAATTCGTTAAAACCAGGCTTAGCTTACATAGCTCATAACACCGCCATTAAATATACCCTTCCCAAGGAATGCCTGCAAACAAACCAACGTTTGTGCGTCCTTGGTTTGAACACGTGGAGAATGCCAGTTATACCACTAATGTACAAAAAATACACCTTATTTGCTGTAATTAAGTAAAAATGCACACAATCTATTGAAAATGAGTAAAACTTGGGTTGTTTGTGTAAAACTTGGAGGATATTGAAAGCATTTGGACTCGTTTTAATGGGTGTTGTTCTATACAAGGAAGCTAGTCTGTTTTCATGAGTAAACTGCCTCAAGCCACGATGTATTTTACTTGGAATTCAAACTTTTGTGTATAATATCGTTTATGGAGGTGATTAAGTGAGTGCCATGTTATCTTAATTCGTGGCTATTATTGACGTCTTTATAAAGCTGAAATCTCGGAGATTAGTCCTCTTTTCAATACTTCTTTTTACATTGTACATTTCGTATCGATGAGTCGTGAAATCAACAATGGAATAGGTAATTATATCACAACAACCACCACACAACGTGTTCCTTTCTCCGTGAAATCGGGCACACTGAGGCGCACAATGCCCGCGCCGAGTGGCAATGGAGTGCAGTGGGCTTGTTATACGACTCTATTCAAAGCCGTTAGTACCCATATACGTCAATGAGGACCCGAACACGCGTAAGTATACAACGATCGTCAACAGTGTTGACAGGTGGTAGGAGAAAAAACAAATTATATTATTCGGCGGAAATGAAATGAAGAAGCAGGATTTCGAACAAGACACATTTTTAGGTTTTGTAAATATTGTCTTTAGAGTGGAATTTTTCACGTTTTATCTAGCGCATGTAGTTATAAATAAATGATCAAGTCATGGCAGGATAAAAACATTCTGGCCATGAACTGAAAATAATTGTGCTATGCACAATGGATCCACTCAGGCCCATCTTGAGGCGTCCTTCTGAAAATTACATTTTAATTTCACATTTTAATTTATTGTATACTATAGTGAGGAAAGTTTTCAATATTGGATTTTTATGTCAAAATATAAGTGCTGTACATCTTATTCATATATTTATTGAAAAAACAGATTTTCATATACCAAGGATGTGTCGTAGTATTATTTTAATATTTGCACGATGTCAAATGGCGTACTAGTCATTGATATTTTTAAAAGGGTAGTTAATTTAGCTTTTATTTAAAATATAACTGTGTTTGAATGGAAACAAAATATGGCAATATTGTCCAATTTGCCATTTTACTTTTACTGAATATTGTTTCTTTAAAAAATGGCTTTACTGTCACAAAAAAACGTCGGCTGCCGAGATATGTTATTGTAGACAGATTTGTGGAAATGAAATAACGCATAACTTATTATGGGTCATATACACGTGGCTACTCTGTAACGCCAAGTAACACCGTGAGCTAGAATGTGTATAAGACGGTACAAACACTCAAATTATATCCGAAAACATTTGACAAAGTAAAATTATCAATATTTTATATTGAAAAAAAAGCGACACATATAGCGTTATCTGAATTCATCGCAGTATAAAAGTTCTTATTAATCGAAAACGGAAAACAAATGTTGCCGTTTATCTCATTTTTATTCAGAGATAACAGTTATATATTATACGTGGGATATGTCATATATTTACTGCGTCCATCTAGTTTACTAGCGACGGTAATATGTGTCAGAAAATCGAGATTATGTTACTTTTCTCAAATAGTAATGAGAATGAAACAGTTGTGCTGGAATACACAGGACGCGGTGACGTTTTTACGTTTTTTTTTTTATCAACATGTACAAAATACCCGATGTAATTAAGATGCCACGATGCACGTCCGCTGAGTAAAGATCTCGAGTGATAGAACTTCTAGTTCTACAGTACGAAAACAGTGTAAAGTCTATACTGCCATTGAATGGTCGCAGTCATGCGTATACGAATTGACAGCCAAATCCCCCAAACAACGCTAAGATGAACGTGTTCGTTTACCTGTCTACCAAAACCCAGACATCGGGGGAACTGCAATACTAATTATGATCGTTCCGAATCCGTATAGTTTACACTTAAATATACCTAAGGTCTCTAATATATATTTTAAAGTCGGGTTTCAAAGTAATTTTGCTGTCTTAAATGCACTCTCAAAGTGGAGGTTTAAATAGCTGACTAATACTAGCATCCTGCCCCAACAATAATCTCATTTAGAGAAGTGTCTCTCCGGGGCTTGGCGAAAGTAAATGGGTGGGCTTTTACAAGGTAAACAAATTATAACGTGTATGGTGTTGGTTTAATCCCTTTACGCTATCTCATGACCTTCGTTGGGCATTAAGGACGCATTATTTTTCGAATATCTACCATTTTTGGTCTAAGCCAAATACGGAAACTCCAATCAATACTGCTTTGTGGTCAATGAATGACACGTTGAGATGGTGTAATTTCAGACGAGTTTCCAAGCTGCCCTTTCGTGACTTATCGTTTCTTTTCTCGAATGATCAGAACACCAGGGAAGAGTAGAAGAATTTTAGGTTACCGCTGATTAAATAGTTCCCCCACTTTAGGATGATTTCGGTCATGTGATCTGATAAAGTGTTGCTGATGTTTATTCCACGGAGGTGAGTGGTTTATAACTTCTAGTGATACAGACATACTTGGTCCGTGTTTACTTACATTCATTGTACCTTTCACTATTCCGCCCACTATCAGGTGAGATTGAGACGGTCTACGAAATTCGCACCTGCAATCTTTCTGCAATCTGTCCTGCCATGTCCGCTGTGTGTACGTATCTTTTTTTTTACTTTGATAGTACATAATCTGATAACAGTTGTAATCTGTTCAATATAATCCTAATTAATAATAAACATACTAATGTAATGGTGCTATGATGTTTCATTTCACAATATAGCTTGAACACAAAAAATACAGTTGAAGTGACCGATTAAACATTCAATTAACAGAGCAAATTCAGGCCATGTCCAGTTAATAATGTAGCAGTCATGGCTGGTCTGAGCCCTTGTGATATATTGTAATATATCCTCTAAAATCCATGAAAAGTGCTTTATTAGTACGCCCAAAAGCAGCCAAAATTTGATGTAATTGTTGTCTGGTTCGCAATTTCTCGGAATCGATCACGACTACAGTGCATTATTGGTAACCCCCCCCCCCCACGACGTCTCTGATATGCTCATGGTATGTTGAAAGCCAATCACAGAGAACTAACGCATTGACGCGCAATCACAATTGTTTGGGTTTGTGGTATCGTAATGACTCCAAAGTTGCTCAATTTCAGAAATTCAATATCCGTTTTGATGACGTGCCTGATTCCTGCCCAATTTCACCCTTCATTGAAATGAAAATATCTTCTTCACTGATCCGAAGATTTTTAAAACAACTTGCAACCAATCGGATGTGGTATTTTGAATCCATGTTTTGCGGCTTTTCGGGAAAATTGCACGATTGGGTGTATAAGTCACGGTAGTACAAGCTAATTAGCGGATATTGGGTACGTGCGCCAATGAAGACATCTTGGTGATGGCGATTCATTTTAACAGGCGGCGCGCAACCGATATTCGCCTAGTTTCGTAGAACTGTAAAATGTAGAGAAAGAGTGACGTCACCGTATTATGTAGTCAATCCACTACTTCTCGAGTACTTTGAAGTGTTTCCGTTCAAAATGATCACATTTTTTTGTCGTTCGTATAAAGGAAATTTGACCAATCTTAAAGTTTAAAATTATTTTGGAAATGTTCTTGTTGCTATGACACGCAATGATGCACCCTAAAATGACAAAATTCCACCAAAATAGCGATATATTTATAAAAAAAAAAAAACACTGTCAAACTGAGAATCATTTTAACATCTTGTTACGAGTATATTCAATACAAACCAAGTCACTCTATAAACTTATTCTATCCTTGTTAAAATATTAACAATTTTTCATAATAATCAAACAAAGTTTGTTGATATACGATTCACCGGAAGAATACT